GCCCCCCTGGGGTGGAGCTGGCCCTGCATCTCCTGTTCAAACACCTCGGCTTTCCCACCTCACTGCAGCTCCCCCAGGACACAAGACACTGAGCGACCACCCCCTCCCGGGGAGCAGGCCAGCGTCCACCCTGCACTCACGATGACCAGCCGGCAGACGTGACCGCGACAGAGCTCGGAATAGGATGAGTAGTGCACGTACACCAGCCAACTGCCCGCCAGGACACTCAGCCAGATCAGGAAGGCATAGCGGACCCTGAGCCCCGGGAGCCGGCCCTGCAGGGAGACACATGTTGGGACACTCCCCAGGCCCTCGGACCGGTCAGAGCAAACGGAAACTTCAACAAGGCTGGGAGGGCCTGGCCTCTCCTGTGATGAATCAATGCCCCCTGCCCTCCCCATCCCTAGTGCCCTGCACATGCCTGGCTGCTGGGATATTCCAATGCCCAGGGCCAGCCCAGTTCAGGACCCTCAGCCCAGCTGCACCTGCTGGGTCCCACAGCAGAGGACACAACCCTTGCCAGTGGGGACCCAGCTGGAGGTCCCCATCCTACTCAACCTCTCTGCCTCAGTTTCCCCAGCTGCCAAGTGAAGGCATAGCGTGAGTGAGCTGAGTGTACTGTCTCCCATCCCAGCACCCACAACTGGAGCTGTCAAGGGTGCCTTGGGGACCGCCGTTGAGCTCCCCCCACCCCAGCAAACCCCAGGCTTCAGGAGAGGCCAGTAGAGGGTGACATGGCACCCAGGGGACGCCTTACCCACCAAAGGCTTGACCAAGAGGCGGGGCCCTGAATTCCAGGCTGTGCAGGGGCAGGGTGGCACAGGGTGACCACAAAGTCCTCCCAGCCGGGGGCTGAGCCTGCCTGGGGCCGTGCACGGACTAGCTGCCAGGGAGGGCTGACAGCTGGGGCTTAGCCAGGCCTTGCAGTGGCCAGCCACCAGCCAGGCCCACCCATGGCGCTGAGCAGCGGGGCACTCAGTGCAGATCTCCAATCTCACTCAGACTCTTATTAGCTATGGGTGCCAGGGCCACTGGCTCCTCTCGGAGGGCAAGCATGCCAGCCTGGGCACACTGCTGGCCACCTGGAAGGATCCTGAGGTCCTGGGACCACCCCAGGAGGCAAGGTGAGGGCCCTCGGGCCACAGGTGTGCAGCAGGTCCAGCTGAGCCCCATTCTTTGGCACCAACTGGGCTTCCTCTCAAATGTTCCCAAGAAAACAGGAAAGCAGAGACGTATGGAGGTCCGGCACGACATGGTCAGCTAGACTGCTTCCGGGCAGCAAACAATGGAGGCCCCTGGCTCAGACTCAGGGGCAGGCAAGGATAAACTGGGGGATTCCCAACTCTTCCAGGCCAGGCTCCGGGTCCCCTCCCCTTGGGCACCAGCCCCTCGGGGCTCCTCCCCCTCCCTGTCAGCTGGATCTTCTGGCAGGTTGACTGGGCAGGCCAGGTGACCAGCAAGATCCCCCTACCCACCCCAAGCCCTGACCCCCTGCCAAGTGCCTAGAGCTGGTGAGCTCTGTGGACCGCTGGCTGGCCGCTAGAGTGACCCTGAGCAATGCCCAGGTCCCAGACAGGGTGCCCCCCATCCCACCGACACCCCTTTACCATGCGTGCGGGTGGCCTGCGGGAGGGAGCATGACTGGCCAGGCCAACAAGGGCTGGACCAGCTCCTGGTGGAGGTCTGGGGACAGTGACCCACGCTCAGAACTGTGCTGGCCAGTCTGGAGGGCGCGGAGGACAGCTTCAGTGGCGCCCTGATACTAGCAGCTCTGCTCTATGCCCCCAAACTCACACCCCAACCTCCCGCCCAGATGGGATGAGCCCATGGGTTCTGGCACCCCAGCCCCACGCCCGGGCAGGAGCCAGAGGCTGGCTTTCCCATAGAGACCAGCTGCACCCCCTCCCCGCAAAGGCATGGCCCAGGGGCCCCTGCTGCCCTAACCCCTGGACAGACGTCCTGTGGGTGGGTCTGCAGGGTCATGAGGTGGTTCTCAGTCACTGCAAGTTGGACGCAGGCCTGGCCCTGATGACCGCAGTGCAGGTTGGGAGAGGGGTCGGGCGGCTGGAGGGCACTGGTCCAAGGTCACCATGTGGCAAGGCTCATCCCTGCCCGGGCTGGCGGGACCAGGGGACGCCTCCCCTCCCGAGGGCGTTTGTATTGGGACCGAGTGTCCATGGCAGGAAAGCCAGCCTGCGTTTCTAAGCCAGCCGGCCAGCGCAGGGGACCCGAGACTGGGGTCAGCCCCCGCGGTCGCGCGCGCCCA